AAAAAAAAAAAAAAAAAAAAAAAAAAAATCGAACCAAGGTTTAAAAATATTATTTAAAAGTATTTAAAATATTTTATTAATATAACGGTATATATTAAATACACACACTTTTTGTCGTAATTTTTGAAAAAAATTCTGTAGTGACGAACGACAAGTCGGCTTTGGCGGTTGATGGTCCCATTGACGTAACCATAAATGAGTTTTGACAAATCGAAACCAATGGTTTTTCTTTACCATTTATTTTTATTTTTAAATGTGTGGTCAAATCTTAAACACCATTGTTTCCTAGCGAAAAAGAAAAAAAAAAGAAAAAGGCAATAAATATATATATATATATATATATATATATATATATATATATATATATATATATATATATATATATATATATATATATATATATATATATCTATATATATTATTTTTGAAACATTGGATAAGTTTGAAAATGTTACATTTTTATTTTAGTTTTCATTTCGCTCATTTATGTTAAATTTTTATTAATAATTTAATTATTATAAATTAATTATAATTAAACTATTTAATGTGCACAAAAACTTCAACCCTATAAAAATTAATTAACCGAAAGTCAACATCGTTGACTATAAATGGTTGAAAATTTTAATAATTGAAAATAAAAAAGCGTCAAAATTAACTGTAATTAACCTTTATTAATTTATTTGAAATTAGTTTAATAAAGAAAATGGAACAAAAAAAAATAGTGAAAATTAGCAATTATTGCATTTTTTTCATTTCCTTTTTGGGTAACCGAATTATAATAAATGAATTAAAATAGGTGGATTATGACGCAAGCATATTTATTTAAAACGATGTCGTGCTAAACTTGCAAAATTTAAATAATATTAAAAACAATGGCCCCATGCCCCCATATCATATTCGTTTGATGATTCGGACTTGACTCGCTCTGAATCAGTTTATGTTAAGCCATCGAGTCCTCTAAGGTTGATTGACCCCTTTCAAGAAGATTCATTAAAGACTGACGATCTCGTTAATTCTAAGGAGGAACTCATTCCATAAGGAATATTAGAGGAAGACATACATAGTTGGCTGGTTATTTGTCTTTTCCATTCCTGGTGCTACTGAAGGTGCCCGAAATTCATGGATTCTCTGGTAGAGGAGAGTCGAGGTTGAATTCCTTTCGGACTTCCCCTCAAGGCTTTAAAACGTGTCTGTTAAGGGAAAGTTTCCACCCTCTTATAAATGGTGGTTTGTTCTTCTCCTCAACCAATGTGGGACATCACAATCCACCCCGCCCAGCGTCCTCGCTGGCACTCTTTCCTTCCTCCAATCGACGTGGAACCGCCTCTAAATCCACCCCCTTTGGGGCCCAGTGTCCTTACTAGCACACCGCCTTGTGTCTACCCCCTTTCGAGGAACAGTGAGAAGGCTAGCACTTCGTTCGGTGTCTGGCTTTGATACCATTTATAACGATCTAGATCCACCGTTAGTAGATATTGTCCTCGCTGGGGGTGTTAAATCCGACGCTTAGCTTGCGGTGGGGTGTTAAGGATATTTAGTAATAAATTATAGTTTACCATATATATTATATTTGACATTTTATTATAAGTCAAATATCTAATATTTGCCTTATTATCATAGGTATCTTTCCATTTATTACTATTTCCATATTCTTGTAATTTATTTGATTCTAAATAAGATAACTTTCACACCATTTACGTGTGGTGGATTAATCAAACATTCACAGAGGAGAACAAACCACCATTTATAAAGGGTGTGAAAACATTTCCTTAGTAGACGCATTTTAAAACCTTAAGGGGAAGCCCGAAAGCGAAAGCCCAAAGAGGACAATATCTACTAGCGGTGGATCTGGGTCGTTACAATATGCAAGTGGTCATGTATAATAGGTCAAGCTTACCGCTAGTAAATATTGTGTGCTTTGACCCGTTACGTATCATCATAAGCTTCACAGTTTTAAAACGCGTCTACTAAAAAGAGAATCTAGCCCTACTTCGACCAGTGTCTCGCAACGTCCGATGACTAACTCTGATACCATTTGTAGCTGAGCAAAACAAACTTAATCTGCTAGTTGTGGGTTTGGGTTGTTACATCACGTTACCTAAAGAAAACTTATCTTAGATGATTATTTTTTTACTCTCAATAAGCAAGCTTTTTCGAATAAAAAATGAGAAGTTATTCTTCATCCCCTCGTCAACTCGATAAAGCGGCTTTGGTTCTTCTTCTCCTTCATTGTCACGGGTCCTTTTGACATAACATTCTCAACTACTCGATAGTCAAAAGACTATATGAACTAGGACATTTCTCTGACGTTTTCCATTCTTCAGTTGATCCAATTTAGCGTTTTCAAAATCAAAATCAACTTAGCTAATTATCTTTGAAAACACGCTAAAACGGGCATCATGCCTCTCTATAATTAATCAAAAAATATTCTCGAGCAAACGAAAACGAGAGCTGTACGAGATTTTGAAGTTAAAAAATGATAATAATTCAAACGACATATTTGAATTTGCGCGTTTTATAAAATAAATAATTTTAGATTTATAAATACTTGACTGATGACGCAATTAATTATATAATTTGCAAAGCATATAAATTATGGAGAGTGAATTATTAATTTGTAACAACCATAATAATTCATTGGTTATTAAATTGGGCAAATATTAATTAAAATTAAAGTCAATTACTTTTGTCGGGACACCTCGGGCAAAAAATTAATAAAAATAAAATAAAGGGACTTTAAAAAAAAAAAAAAAATATATATATATATATATATATTTAAAAGAACTTTAAATAATAATAATAGTAATAAAACAAATAAATATATTAACGAAAACAATTTTAAATCTTATCTAGATCGATTTTTCATTTTAATTAATTTTTAAGGTAAATTTTTAATTTTTGTAAATTAATAAAAAAATATATTAGAATTTTGGATAAATAAAAATGACGTATTGATATGTTGTATGTGGATTTAACATCAATAATAATAATAATAATAATAATAATAATAATAAATTATTTATTTCTTCAACAATTATAGGTTCATTGCGCACAAATTCAACCATATTATTCAAATAATAATAAAAATAAAACTGAATTAAATTAAAACAAAATTAATAAGACCCAACGGTTCATGGCCCAGCCCAGGTCCCTTCTTCGTTTGCTCCAAGCGGGCTCAGCCCATGGTCTTAACTCAAAGATGGCTCGTAAACTTTTTTCAAATTTCCAATCAATTTATTTAAACTGATGGCTCAAAGATGGCTCAGCCCATGGTCTTAAAGTGTATTATATATATATATATATATATATATATATATATATATATATATATATATATATATATATATTTATTTATTTATTTATTTATTTAAGTTTGAAGGTGTTTTTAAAATTTTTAAAACATTTCCTGTCCTTCGATGTTCTTAAAGATTTAGGTTAAACGTCAATTCATTTTGCTCGTAAGTTTTTTAGCTTAACAATCTCCTCATCTGATTGTCTTTCTTAGGATAAGAAGGTGCTCCCTCACTAGTTCTTCACAAACGTGGCTAACTATTGTTTACATGATAACAATGACAAAGTTTGTTCGAACGGGCAAATATATGACCTGCAACCGAGAAGGAAAAAAACACATTGGTGTGGTGCTCGTTCCACAATTTAGTTAGGAGAATCTGAGTATAACAAGATTTTACGTACGAGGAAAAACTTACCCTTTTTTACATTAAAAAGGTATTTATCTAAGAATTCGACGACTTAGATTGTTTCTTCTATCAATTAGGTTGAAAATGAGAAAAACCGAGCTAAGCAGGGACTCAACATCGTCTCTTATTAACTTATTTTATTTTTATGATATTTTGGATACTTTCTTGATCCAATTTTATTTTACCGTTGGAGATGTTGTGATCAGTCAATAAAAATGACTAATTTTATTAATTTTATACTTAATAAAA